TATTTTTTTAACTTATTTGAATCTTTTATGCATGGAAATTTACAATTTATAAAAGTAAATATAAGGCTCTCAAGAGCCTGAATCGCTCACCTGTAGTTTTTTATTAAAATTATTTAATCAAGGTTAGTCTTTTGCTTTTAAGTTTTTAATGTATAATTAATAAGTGTGGACACAAACCAGTGTGGATAGTATCCATCATTCTGAGAGTATTGCATGGCAATTAGGAAAGGTGAGCTAAAAATAAATAAACAAAAAGCAAATATGAAACACAACAACAAATGACAACCACTAAAATCATTGGATTTTGAGTTGTGCAAGGAGGGATAAAATTTATGTACTGTATCCAAACCCTGTCTTTAACATGGGACTGTGGTGTTACAGCACAACATAAGTACAAACATTTTTTTTTTTTTTAATTAGACTTCCTGTATGTATCAGTGTATTTATTTATTCCACATTAGCTAGAGGTACAAAATTTATTGGTGATGGGTTTATATCTCACAAAATATGTATAACTCAATAACTTATTTGTAGATCTTACTTTGCTGAACATTTTTACTGTTTACAGTTTATCTTTATCTATGATAATATTCAAGATAAAAACCAAAAACTGCAAAATTTCATTAAAATTATCAATTTATCAAAAATAGGTTGTCTGATTCGTCTGAAAATTTCAGGGCAGGTAGTTCTTATCCTAATGAACACTTTTACCACATGTCAGATTTGCTCTAAATGCTTTAGTTTTTTTGAGATATAAGCCAAAACCTGCATTTTACCCCTATGTTCTATTTTCATCCATGGTGGCCATGTTTTTTGACGAAACAGAAAATAAAACACAAACTTTATACTAGATACCCTAAGGATCATTCAGCTTAAGTTTGGTTGAAATTGGTTCAATAGTTTCAGAGGAGAAGATCTTTGAAATAGTTTACACCGGACAGACAACAGACACCAAGTGATGGCAAAAGCTCACATTTTCCTTTTAGGAAAGGTGAGCTAAAAAGAAAGAGTATGGGCTAATGTCATGAAGAAAAAAAACACCACCTACAGAGAGTAATAGAAGTCATCACATGGTCATGTGTTATTAAATTAGCCTTTGTTTTGTGTCCATGAAGATTTACCTGATATGACTTAGAATATTTCTTGTCATCTTCAGAAAATGATCACAACTCGATTTTTGAATAAAAAAGAACATATTCACAAAATTTTGTAAAATATGAAATTTATATCGTTGGATAGATTTTAAACTAGAGAATAAATGTATATGCGAATGAAGTTGTTTCTAATAACTATTTAATTTGTATTTATATATGAAAACCCATATGCACACATTTTTGGTTTTGTATTGTATGAAGTTATAAGGCGTGTTCTCTGTGTTTTTCAATTGAAAATGGAACAAACTTCTACAATCCTTATCAAAATACAATTTATATCTTTAGAAAGCTTAAAAATTGATGTGAATGAAAAAGAAATTTATTTTTGTTTACTGAATGCTAATCAATATCTAAGAATTCCTTTAAAAATTTATAGTAATATTAAATTTATCAATATCGATTGTGGCCCAATTTAACACATGCGCACTGCTGGTGCTGATAATAGTTGCATCTGAGACTGTGGGGGTCCTAGGCTAAATTCCTGACTGGGTCAAAGCATGTGGCATTGAGGGATAATAGCATAGACCATTATATAAGGTCTGAATAATAGGTCCAGGTTGTAATTAGCCAATTTTCATCTATTAACAAAAGTTGAAAACAGCAAATTATTGTGAAGTGTTGATTTTTTTCTGAGTAAAACAAATAATTAATTTAGTGAAATATGTTGCTCGAGTTATGGTAGTCTATAACACATTCTTATTCAATTCTTAACGTTTTAACACTGATATTTTCTTTTTTTTTAAATGCAAACTCGGTTAGCACATTGATAGATAAAATAGAAAATTAAAAAAATAACAAATAGCAAAATAGTAAAAAGAAAAATATCAGAAATAGAAAACATTACCCCCGAGGTCATATGTTATAGGACTAGAGTTCCGGAAATAATCGAATTATGACGTGATAGAATTTGTTAGATATCCTCTTTATGCTAACAAATACAATACAAAAATAATTCCAGGTTAGAAGACAGTGGTTGTTTGTAAGTGCTTGTTTGTGCCCATGATTTGATAAAGAATATAAATGTGTAAAATTAAAATGTTGGATATGACTGCCAAGTATTTATTCTTTGCTTGAAAATTTTTATATTCAAAACTGTTTTCGTTGAATAAAAAATATTTAACTATTACCAAAAATTTAGTAGTGAGAAAATATTTTACATTCTTCAGAATAAACTCCTGGTCATTACTTGAAAATGAAGATAGTTCAAAATTCAACTTCAAATTAAAAAAAAGATTTAATGAGAGTGACACAATGTTATATAATACGCAAAATTAATAGCGTGCAGATGAACCCCCGATGCCTTTATAGCATACTACTAGTATATGGGTTTTACTCGTTGTTGAAGGCTGTACAGTGACATGCAGTTGTTTATATCGCTGTCCTTTGTTTACAGTTAAACATTGCAATTGTGTCATTGGCAGTCGTTTAACATGTCAATATTTCAATTTTCTTTTTTTAACGCACAACACCATGCTCATATTTCTGTCCTTTTAAAATTTTGTATGAAAAATTACCAAACCACTCTGTATTTGTGACTGTATTTTCTTTTTTGTAGAAAATTTTGCATCGCTTTTTGACATCGGGAAAGGGTGATCTCAGACACTCAGACACGTCCGCGTTCCAATGTCGTCAAAATTATTTTTGAGAAGATCCCTCAAAGCGATCGTTTCCAAGATGAAGAGCACACGCTCGTCATTAGAGTCATGTCTCCAATTTTGAACTATGCTAGATTATTCTTGGCTTATTTGGCAAATTCATATTCAACTTAGATATTCTCATTAAGGTGTTGATAAATATCATAACAGATGTCCCGTAAATGCACGTCATATTTGTCTCATTTCATGATGGTCATATGTATATGAGGGTATTCCATCAAGAATATATACAATATACAAGGCTGTCAGGAATTTAAGCAATACCTTATTTTAGAGGTTGAAGCAACGACTGACATATGGCGAATTCATTGATTTTCATGGGTACGAATATCATTGATTAAGGATAAACTGTATTTTCGTGGATATTTTATTTCATGGTTTTACCAAAGTCTGCATACAAGCCTATAGAAAATTTGTACTTTGTTGAATATTTAAATTCGTGGTTCACCTTTAACCATAAAATCCACAAAATTTGGTATCCCACAAACTATAATGAGTACACAGTAATGAGACGAGAGGTTTCTGTTTCATTTATCAGTGTCATTGTAAAAGCAATACCCAATGATTGATTGATTGTTTTGTGTTTAATGACACTTTCAGCACACTTGCCTATATCATGTTGGCCAGTATTGATTGGTGGAGGATTTTGCCAGGGTACGTGAAGAGAACCACCTTTCTTCTGCAGGAATTAAAGCAATGTAAGACCACCTCCTGAACGGCAAAATTAAAAAATCATTACAGCATATTGAAATTTCAAAAGCATTGGTAGAACAATTCTCAACTTACTGCACATATACAAATTAAAATGCTATTTTTCATTCTTCCAAGAACTCATGAACAGCAACAGTGAAAATCCTCAATATTGCAATATACCTGAATTTTGTAATCAGTAATAACATATTACAATTTAAAAAACATTAGTTAAAAAGGTCATTAGTTATTGCACAGAAACAACTGGATAAGCCCAAACATTGGCCACACAACCATAAATTCATTACCAGTTTTTTATCTGAAAACCTGGTTAAAAGGAGGAGGTATGATAAGAGTCACTATTTGGCCCCTAAAATGTAAAATATAAAATGTTTGTGATCTTACAAAAATCATCTTAATTCTATTTATAAATGAATAGCATGATATAATATTGACATTTAAGTCCAGAAATGTCACTTGTGATGTCATAAATATGTCAAAAAGACAGAGTTGCCAAAGATGCCCAAAGCTATTTTATCATGTTTTTACATTGATTTTGGACCAATTAGATATGGCCTAGGCCTTACCACAAAGATTTGTTATCCACATTAACATCTTTGGATATGACATCTTGTAACAAAAAATCCTATTGGGTACGGCCTTGACCATTATCTTTATATTAATGACTAGATCTCAAAAAGAGTGCACAGTTTGAACTGTCTTGTCTGCTGAACTGATCATTATTAATTTATGTCTATTTATAATTATTATATGTAACTAAACTTCATCCAATGAACCATGCCAGACAGACATGTACACCTTATAATCATTCCACACAGCAAGTATAGTTCATTTATAGTATCTGTGACATTGACTTGACCACAAATACATAACCTTGATCACTGATCCATGAAATGAGGGCAAGTTCAGGTGAATTCAGCCTGTCACATAGATTTGCAATGATTCTATATACCCTATTATATTGTCCTATTAGACTATTACTCATATTAAGTGTGAAAATCATGAGTTTAAAGAAAATGAGGTCCAAGACAAGACAACTTCGTCACATAAGGCATCCAAGATATGAAGTTTCCAGGTCTCCTTACTACTTTCTGAAATATAAAGCTTTATTCAAAGAGTTTTTGCCTTCACCATCTCTGCCGGATTATTATCCTTGTTTCTCATTCAGCAACATGTGTCACAGGCTAGACAAAACAATGTCTATAATTTCCATTTTAGGTCAAAACATGTTATTACGTCACATCATTTATGTGATTAAGTTTTGAGATTATGTCATTATATTCATTTATGAATAAAACTTTTATAAAATTGGAAGTATTGAAGAATTTCATTATTTTTTAAATTTCAGGGGCCAGATGATGACTCTGATTGTACCTCGTCCTTTTATTTTTTTGGTCATGTAAAAAGTGGAGATGAACTGACTAATTAAAGTAGCAACCACAGTTACTTATTTCACTTTGTACAGTTTAAATCTACTTACTTGTTTTCCATACTAAGTGCATCTATATCAACAATTCTTTTCTCATCTCCCTTTAGAATGTAATTGAGTTCCTGGTTCAGTCTGTCATATTTACTTTTATATGCCACCCTTTCGATAACTAATTCTTCTTTTTCATCTATCACTTGTTGAAGATCTCTTTCTAACTGATTAATCTGAAATGAGATTTGATAATATTTGATGTTGTTAGAGATATTTTACAAGGATTTCAAATTTATTCTAGATATCCTGTAAGATTTTTTAGGAAACGGTATCATTAATTAAGTATGATGTGGACAAAAAAGAACCTTAATATAGCACTATTGCAGACAATTGCACTTACTACAGGTCTTTAGAAGAAAAAGCACTTTTTCAGTAGATAAAATGAGCTAAATATGAATCAATGAGAGTGGGTCAACAATTTCGTTTAAATTGTAATTAATATCGTCACCAAATAATGTTCCCTGTTACATGTTTCACCTTTTACATTTTATATTTAGAAACAGAAGAAACTACCAAATAAAGATTCTTCTAATAAAGTTTATCAATTATCCTTGACATGAAAATAAGATCTGTATTGTCTCCAAAAAATATTCTGAAAAGGTTTTTTAGGGGACATTTTGTAAGTTGAAACATAGGAATAATGTTTTTCTCCTCTAAAAATTGCTTATTGATTATGAAAAAAATGATTATGATTATATGTTACTGAAGATTAACAGTTGCAGGGTGTATTTTAATTCAATTTATAATTTAATATTTTCAAGAAAAAAGGCATTGAAAATATACTTTTTCAACATAAACAAATTAAAAAACTTATTTTTATTGAAATGGGGATTCATTCTTCATTGCAAAAATACACTTCCTGTATTCCAATAACTTATATTGTTCAAAGAAATTTGATGGGGAATAAACTAAAAAAAAAAAAAATTGGTTTGCTCAGTTACAAATTTTGAAATTTTACTTTAATACTGCTTCAAGCCAATCACTGATAAGTGTTATCTAAATTATTTATTCATTAGATGATTATTGCATAAATTTATCAAGTAAAATATAGACCTTACTTGAATACCTTTTTTTATTTTTATTTTTATACTTAATATTTTGTCTTTTCTTTTGACTAAAAAAGATCTTGTTTAAAATTGTTAATCATTTTTCTTTCAGACATAATTTATAGAATCATTTTATGTAGTGTAGATCAAAAGTAATAGGCAATGAATAAATCTTATCATTTCTATATTTCAAACATCTAATTTGACGGACAGAGTGCAAACCTAAAGTCCCCTTCGACTTCATCGGTAGGGGACTAATTAAGGACATACCGTCTATACAAAACAAATGTTAAAACTGAGCGCTACCTTAAGCTACAACTCCCAAAAACTGTGCGATGAACTGTTTCCCTGTTCCGTAGCGGGTCTCTGCCATTGCCAATCGAGACAGGATGATATGCCCGACCGCAAACACCAGTAGATGAAAGACTATGCCGACTATGTAATAGGAACGATATTGAAAGTGAAAATTTTTTTTTGTTGTTTTGCCCATTATATGACGATATTAGGTTTGAATTGTTTGCAAAAGCTATCACTTTAATGGATGGTTTTGATACTCTTGATATGGACAGTAAATTTATCGAAATAATGTCTTGTGAAGATATACAAACTTCTTTGTCATATACAATTTTTAAATCTTTTCAGAGGCGAAAACTATTTAGCACATGAAAATTTATCAAGCAATAATATTTAATGTTTTTCTATTTTTAATCATAAACAGATAATTTAGTTATTTTGGAAAACCTTTTACTTTTTTTAAGTTTAACTGTGATAATTAAATATTTCTATTTTGATTTCTTATTTTTAAAGCTCAGTGTTATGTTAAGTAAAAAGATTTAAATCTTTTCTAGATTTTTAGAATTTGAATTTTACACATACAGACTAAAATGACTTGTTTAGTTAATTCTTTTAACATTTAGATTTTAGAAATGTTTGTACATAAGTGTCTCATAAGTCTACATAAGGCTGGATATTTGGTCATTTTATTTTGTGTTGTTTATGTAATTGTGTATATATATATATACAAGTCTAAATTGAAAACAACGTTCAAACCTATGATTGCGTTGGATAAAAACCGCAATTTTTATACGTGTGCATGCAAAACAAATTTCTTTGTAGAGGGGTCTAAATACAGCACAAACAACATTTTCCAAAAGACCAAAAAAGTGAATATGTCTGATCAAATATGTGACACTATAATAAAATAAATCATTATTATTATTATTATTATTACTGAGGTTGATTAGGAATTTGGTCAATATGATTGGCATTTAAGGAGGTGGGACTTTCTAATTAAGCCCCACCTTTTCTCTGATTGCTTGGTGATCATGGCAGTTGTCAATCATGCTGGTAATGTATCATTACTCTTACCTAATTAAAATGACAAACTAGCCTGTAAATTGACAAAACTAACGACACACATACTTGAATGAACTGCTCCAAAGATATAACCCAATCTTTTCACAGTTCATATGTGCATTTGTACAATAGGCATGAGAATTACAGGGAACTATATTTCAGTGTGTATACATTCTGTAGATTTAGTAGCTAACCTGTGCTACTTCATGTTTGGGAGGCCGGTGCCTTAGGAAAGACTTGGAACAATAGTTTCAATCTTTCCAAAAACCCATGAATTGAAATGAGGCCATCAAATATATTTGTACAATTGACTTAATAATTTGGGTATAACAAACTTTTACTTTAATTTCTTCAAGTTAATAGGAAATTATATTTCATTTTCAATGTAGACAAGTAACCTCTTTGACATGCCTTCGACATATTAAACAAAGAGTTTACACTGAAATGTCATCGACATGTTCAAGATTTGGATGTAGACTTCTCTCAAGTTAACAACAAATATAAAAGAATGTTTAGTGAGCAAGCTCACAATCCCCCCTCCTCTCCCAAACAAAATGTGGATTATTTTCTATTTACTTAAGGTATGAATCTTTCGTGTTGTGATTTTAAAGTAAAATTATCTTTTACAAATCTTTTTTTAGTAACTACGACATTGACCATTGAAGTATTGATATCAAAATCAATAGGGATCTTCCTCTAATTCTATGTGATCATGAATCCATGTAAGATTTTAATCCCATATGAAGTATTTGATTAATAGCATTCCTAAACTGACCTTGACCTTTGACCTGGTGGTCTCAAAACCAATTGGGACCTTCATCTCATTCTATGTGACCTTATATATCCAAGAAAGGTTGCAATCCCAAATGTAATATTTGATAAAGCATCAGGAAAACACTTTTCAGCACACATTTTGGTCTATTTTTTAATAAACTACTAGAACACACCTGCGACATCTCGGGTCCGTGACTGAATCAAAGTACCTTACGCCTTATTTTTAGTCTGGATTTTTAGAATTCCTATTGTCATCTGATAAATGCTGATTATAAGATGCACAGCTTTCTTTGCTTTCAAAATCTTTCTGTTTGAACTCACCCTGGTTTTCTTACTACAACCGGAAACTACATGTGACAATGATTGAATTTAGTACATGTAGTGTCAATACCTGTATAATGATGAAGTTCAGATGTGATTATGACCTGTATATATAGCAAATTCCAAATACACCGCTTGGTGGTGCACCTCACAGAGGCGGACCGTACAGAATAGGTTAAAGGTAACAGGTGACATATACTATTGGTACAGGTATCGGATTCGAGCCGGAACTTGTTAATTATTGGTAATATTAATTATCTGGAAAACAAAAGGGCCTGGAATGGTGTCATTTTTAATCAACACCATTATCCTATATTAGTTATATATAAAGTTGAATTCTTTGATTCGTCGTTTTTACGTCATGCCGGCTAACAAATTGGACCTTGTTATTTTAGTAGTATAGATGACTTGGACCTTTGACCTGCTGACCAGCAGAGCTCAGATAAGTTGCATATTTCGTTATTATGCAATAAAAATAATCAAAAACCCAATCCATTTTTCAATTTCATCATTCAAAAACCCAATTCTTGCAAAGGAGAACCCAATTATATGTCAAAACTATGCATCACGCAACCCTTCTAATCGCTGTTGAATCCTAATTTACCCTAATCAATAAATTGTTGCTGCGTAATTAATCTATTTTTGTAATTTTAGGAAATCTACTTTAGTTCCAAAAATAGAGTAAATAGCTGATCTCCCCTGCAAAATGCTGTCCTGAAAAAATCTTTTCTATCAAGATATCCCAAAAAATCCCAGCATTGGTCATTTTGTAATTCCTGATATATTAAGTGTCCCAGGAAGTCCCATGAAGTCCTGAAATCTGTTTTCCTGATATTTCAGGAATTTCCAAGACCTTTAAATTTGTTTCATGAATTACTGGGATATTTAAGGACTTAAAATTTTGCTTCACCGTTTTAGTTTTTCTTACAAATAATGGGTTACTTTTCAGGACTTAGTCTTTTTATGCAATTTAAATTCCACTTAAGTATATTTACAACTTCCAAGACTTGTTTACGCACAGTTAGACTTTTATATGATCATGCTGATGAAAAATGTTAGTTTAGAATTTCGGAAAAATGCAAAACTCACATATCACAAATCATGTCATATGCCCCAAGCCAAAATTTGAGTAACAACACAATATGAATTTTTGTAATTAAATATAAAAATTTTCAAAGCCCAAGATCATGATCATACAACTATTCTATCTTGAGCTTTGAAAATAAAAGATAACAGGAGATTACCTGTACACAGGTTAAATCTATAAAATTTCAAGTATCTTAATGAACACACAAATTATTTCCATGCTATAATTCTTTATCATCAATTAGACATGTGAGCCAGTGAAAGAAATGTACAAATGTGCCATCTGTTTTCCATTAATCTTTGTGTAGACACTGGACAGGAAGTATTATGAACATAAAGTGTGAGGCCAAATGAAGGGGAGCACATGGCTTTCTACATTTTCTGCAATTACTATAACTTAAAACATTAAGATGGTAAATAAACAATAAACGGATAATTTTTTATCATAATATATATCAAATATTCAAGATATAGGTCATAAACGGTATTCATTCGGGGCACATTTCAAAGAAAATAGAAATCAGACTTCCTTAAACAACCCCAAACACATTTAGAATTTGAACTTGCAATGGACATGGAGACAACAAGCA